GGTTGTTGGTTGTGGTCTGTGGAATGTTGCTCCACTTCTCTTCAATGGCTGTGCGAAGTTGCAGTCAGGTCGAGACCCCGATGAGGACGACAAGCATGCAGATGAGCTTCCTTGAGACGGTTCCTGACAGTTTGTGCAGAAATTCTTTGGTTATGCAAACCGATTGTTGCAGCAGCAGTCCGGGTGGCCGGTCTCATACGATCTTATGCTGGATGTGGTGGTCCTGGGCTGGTGTGGTTACATGTGGTCTGCGGTTGTGAGGCCGGTTGGCTGTACTGCCAAATTCTCTGAAACGCCTTTGGAGACGGCATATGGTGGAGTACTGAACATTTAATTCACGATCAACAGCTCTGGTTGACATTCTTGCAGTCAGCATGCCAATTGCACGCTCCCTAAAAACTTGCAACATCTGTGGCGTTGTGCTGTGTGGTGGAACTGCACATTTTTGAGTGGCCTTTTATTGTGGCCAGCCTAAGGCACAACTGTGCAATACCCATGCTTTATAATTTTGTTCAGTGTATCTGTGCAACACCCAGGAACCATGAACTTCTGCTGCCATGTGGGACCATACACCGAAAATAAGACCCTCTATTACTTAATGTTGAAATACCTGCACACACAGAAGAGTTAGCAGCACTGTTGCATGACAGATGCTTAGCAAACACAAATCAATTAAGCTGTCAATTACATAACTACACTCACTAATTACATTGCTTAAAAAACCTGAGGCTGTTCACTGATTTTCTCTGTTAGTGAAACAGGCTGAGCGGGAATACCCATGAACAACTTTCTTTTTTTTACCAGAACTAAAGATTATTTTGCGATATTCGATCACGACATAGTTTCTTCTTTCTATGCAACATTTTATTCTTATGATAAGTCTTCTGCAAAACAAAAACAAAAAGATTCACAGTAACTTACTCATCAACTTGTTTACATCAGCTAATTAGAAAAAGATGCATCTGTTGAAATCACAGCCATTATGCGCAGGGTTCAACCCCTGCAGTAGATAGTCTTGTGTTCACATCCAGTCAGACCAGAAAGTGTCCTTGTGAAATATGTGGTGCTGGATTCAGACCTCTGAATTTCTTCCACTGAGGGTTTTTTAATGAAACAGTTTAAAACAAAGAAATATTGACTAAACAATGCGCAGTGTTTATATGAGGGGGGCGTGTCAGTGGGGCTCCGGGAGCCAGCTGCAGCTTTCTTGTGGCGTGAGGTTTTGATCTTGATGGACCACAGCCCCCTGCCTGAGGAGAGAGTTTCTTCTCGGGGTTGGAGGGGTTGGCGACACTCCTTCCTGCTCGCCTCAGAGTCCTAAAGGCGTACAGGTCCTGGAGGGTTGACAGTTTACAGCCAATAACCTTCTTCTCAGATGGTGATGCAGGAGGTGAGGATGGACGGGTGGATTGACTTGTCTGCCGCAAATTGTGCTTCCTCTGCTGGGCTTCCTTGGTGAGGGAGCTGATGAGGTTTTGGGGCGATGATGGTGCCCAGGAAGTGGAAAGTGTTGACTGGGGAGTCATAAATAACTGCTAATGTTTTGGTAAATCAGGATGTTTTAATGATAAAAATACAAAAAGTCTGATGTTGAATCTTTGCATCAAATAACCTTAGAGAGTAGAAGCGGATCTCCTTTTGCACATGTGTCTGTGTTAAAATGCCTCATTCCTGATATGGGAACAGGAAAGCAGTAAAACTGAGTGAGTGACCTTCTGTTTCTGTTTTTTCCCACCAACAGCAGTCGTTGTTGGGGCTACGCTGAATGTTGAGTCTGCACTGCTGGTGATTTTGGGACAAAGCCGGTCTGCGTCCGGAGCTTTATGGTCCTGGCTGTCAGATAAACTTCATTAAATAAAGTGTTTAGCTGCCGGCCTGCTAACATTCATGTGGAATTAACACACTTTACATCCACGTTCACACAAAAAGCACACAGAAGCTTTCGAGTACTTTTTTTTTTCTCTTGTTGTCCTTGAGAGTGAAAACAGGAATGTAACCCTGTAAACCACGTTCCAGACGGAGGTCACAGACAAAACCAAACCAGTATCTATGTGAGACTGTTTATGTGTGTTTATGCTAACCTAGCAGACATGGTTTTGGTGATTTGCAGGTCAAAAGGTATTTTCAGTGATCTTTGAAACGATTACACCAATACCAGAAGTAACAAAATGTATGTGCAAGACTACAGACAACCCTTGCTAAGCATGAAGGTTAAAACTGAGTGACATTGATTTACTTTTAAATAGTTTTTAAGTGCAGCAACTACATGAAACTACAACTGACAAGAATAAAAGAACGGATGTGTCAAAGTTTTCTACAACTTAACTGTGACAAAACTTAATTTATTCCTATTGGCACAGATACTACTCAATACTCAACTTTACTCTTATTTAATCGATCCCAGCCTATATTTTGAGCTCCATGTATAACTCAGTTATGCTTTTTAGCCATGCTAGCAATCTGGACTAAAGTGGTTGGTCCACCACTTTAGTCCAGATTGAAATGTCTCAACAAGTTTCTAATGGACTTGCGTGAAATTTGGTGCAGACAAATTCACAGTGCCCAGAGGATGAATCCCATTGACTTTGGTGATGCCCAGAATCTTTCCTCTAGCGCCCCCATGAGGTCGACATTTGTGGTTTTCAGTGAAATGTCTTAACACTGGATGGATTCCCATTAAAGCATAGGTGTCATTACACTGGGGACGGTGGGGACATGTCGCTACTACTTTTTGAAGGCATTTGTTAAAAATGTTCTGAAAAATAGCTCGCACCAAGAAATGTTCAATAACAAATGAAAAAGATTTGAGTAGTTTATTTGCACAAAAAGAAAACATGCAATGCGATTTAAATATAAAAGAAACAAATGTGCATTGTCCAGAAAAGCTACACAAAAACAAGCTGCTGATTACTGCATTATTTTATGTTTCCCTCCATACAAGTAAAGACATTTCCACAATAAATTGGAGCAGAAAATGTGTCCAGAATGCAGGAAATTAAGTGTTTAATGCTGGGGAGAACCTCCAGACCCCCCGCCCAAGACTTTTTGTTCAGAGGGGGGTCCAAGGTCTGTGTTACAGCGGCACTGGCCTCTGTTGTCTCCCCCCAAAGCCGCCACAGCCTGGCTCCCTGTCACTTTTAACCTTTGACATTTGGCATTACATGATCAGGTTTCTCTAGCTTTGAAGTAATTGTTGACCTCTAATAGGACCTCCTGTCTTCTTGTCAGGGCGTTTGGTTGCTTTGCCAGTTGATGCTCCTCGACTCTTGAAGAGTTAGTGCACGGTTTATTTGTTTTATTAAGCTTTTCCTGTTTTTTTGAAATATGCTTTATAAATGAAACTTGTTTACTCGGGTAAATAGTTAAAAACTAACTGTCTCTCTCAACAGCATCAAAATATAACTATATTTCAATGTGCAGTTAGGACCATTATTATGTAACCTAGATGTTTAAAAGCCTTACCAGTTTTAGTTCAGTTTAAACTTGGATATCCAGACATCTTCTCAGATGCAGATCACCAGAATGTGTACGCTAAGGGCAAGTTTCAATTTCTCAGAAGTGATTTAGCAGTAAGCTGTAAGCTCCTTCTTCCTGTACACGCCCCTCATTGTTAACCTTTTAACATTGACTCTAAAGAAAACACTACTAGTGTTACAGTTTAGGACAGTAAAATCATTGCTGATGCTTGTGGTCAAGTCATGAATGAGCTTTTTAGCATGCAGTCCGCAGCGGTGGATAAATCCTAAAATAAGCTGAGTAGATTGACCACCAAACATCGTCTCAGGGTCCACAAACGTCCCAAAATCCTCTTTGACTAACCAAAGTTTGTCAGGTCATGATTGCTTCATGGATGCAGAGCAACAAACAAGGGGATTGAAGCTTGTTTTTTGGGTGGGTGGTGGGGGGGATTTGTGCTGTTTGTCTATATCTGCTCGGTTTGTCAGGTTGTTCAGGTTTAGCGCTTAAACAAGCTTAATCTGCTAATGAGATTGGAGGACAGATGTTGATGGCTGCGGTGAGCTGCTGGAGAGAACAAAGGATGTTGTTACCAAAATGATGTTTGAGGGCCGTTTGTTTGGTGTTTGAGACCGAAGCTGCTGAAAGACACGGACACATTTTATGTGTTTTTAAAAAAAAATAAAGGTTTTCTCATGCTAGGGTGAGTAAATGTATACCATCATGAGACAAAAGAAGTCTCTCAGTGTCTCTGATGCTGCTGAGAAAAATCATCTGATAAAAAGATGCAATTGCTCTTTTTTATTTTACGTTCTCTTTATTTATTTATGTTTCAGTCTGTCCTAAAAAGAACGTGGGCAAAAGTTTGTTTACTCAACTTTTAAATAGGAAATATTATTGACTTGTACTTGTAATTTGAATTGTTAGTAAAAGTTAGTAAGTAATTAATGTAATTAAGGCAGTTGCCACAAATATTTTAAGTTATTTGAGTTTTAGTGTTTTTGAGTTAGTAATAATTAAAAATATTGAACAAGAGACTAATTGTTCACAAATTATTTAGTTCTGTCAAACAATTTTCGAGTTGCATTAACTAAAAAACTGAGTTGGTCAAATCAGTAATTTCATCTAACAGTAATAAAAAAGTACATGTAAGACAAACTCCGAATATTTAAGCTTCGGTAACTTTTGACTTTTTAGTTTATAAAACTCAATAATTATGGCAACAGATTAAGTACTGCTTAATTGTTCGCGTTTACAGTGTTGATATCTGATTCCCATTGAAAAGTGAAATACATTTTTCCACCTACAGTTCTTTACTGAATATTGTATGAAATATTTATGACAGTTAACATTGTCATAGTTTCATGATTCTTCATACACAAATCCACATTTCTGCAGAACAGAAAGTACTTTTGACTGAATGTTCTCCCGTAGGCTGTTCTGGTGTACAGTGTCATTTCTTGCAGAGACTGTTTATTGATTTATGAGTTTTTTGAGGTTGAGGCACTGACTTTAAAACGAATGAAGTTCTTATCTTGTTCCAGGTGGAGCCATCCCTGTAGGCATTGATGTGCAGGTGGAGAGCATCGACAGCATCTCAGAGGTCAACATGGTGAGGAGTCACTGTTTAACTCAAAACCTTTAACTTCATTTCCAACCTATCCAACATATGATGACTGGTAAATATATGAATTACTTGTGGCAGAGAAAATGAGCTGGATATCAGACTAAGCGGCATATCTAGCAGCAGTGAATGAGTTACTTTTTACTTATTACTCCTTTAAAAAGTAACAGTATTACTTTGCTTATGGGTATTAAACTAAATAGTCACATTACTTGTTACGTTGCTATTGCTTTCAACCACAAAACGTTGCGCCACTCTCTCCTGCCAAGTGGATGCATCACTGTGTTTTTCTGTTAACATATGATTCTGTTATTGAAATTCGATCCTCACAAGTTCAGATGTTTATTTTATTTCTAAACAGCCCCTTCAACTTTTAATAATACAAATAATAATAAGTGACTTAAAGAGATAAAGCAATTGATTGTTAATAAAATCTCAAATTTCTTGTTCTTTGTGTGCAAATCTTTTCATAACATTTATACTAAGCTAAACATTTGGCAGGTTTCTACTTATTTCCATATATCATGACCGTTCATAAAATGGAGCATATGCTGCAAATGAAAGCTGCAGCTTCAGAGGGTTAAAAAGAAATATTGTTCTGACATCTCTTCCTGTTCGTCTGGTTTGTGACCCCTATTCTCTCTCTGCTTTCAACTCAACCGGCAACTTACTTACAAGTGCTTCATCGAGTTTCCCAAGCCGAGAGAGATAAATGGTGGAGAGAAAGGGCGTTGCCGGCTGTAACGGTGAAAATCTGCATGTACGACAACTCTTGTCCTCGGGCTGCTGCAGAAAAACTTCCATCTCATCCTTCACTGACACTGACTTCTGAGCCAATTCAGCTCCAGTAATCTCAAAATTAATGTGACGCCATCTTAGAGGGAAAAAATGGCAAACTCTGACATCAAATGATTTTTTTTCCTTCTCATTTTGTTAGACTTTAACATTTTTATGTTGGTTTTAATGTGATAGGCCGCTGATAAAGCTGTAGCCTCGCTAACCGTCTCCTTAGGTGACACACACTAATGTGTATATTATCTGTAACAGCAAGACATAGAGCTATTTGAGCTTGTGTCAGGTCTTTATGGAAGAGATATGTGACACACTGATCAATAGTCTCCTGTTCCTCTGACGCTGCTACACTGAATAATGTTTTCTGCAATCATTCAATGTACCAGACTGTGGTTTTTGTTTTCATGGAGATCTCAAGAAAACAAATTAGGCTGTAAAACATGAGAACAAACAAAACAAAGCATGCAGAAAAAGAAAGAAAAGAGACGATACAAATAAATAACTGTTGTGTAATTGTTAATGAATTCTGTGGATGTGTTGCAGACATACATACTATAAATCAAAAAATCAAGGCTGAGATAAAAAAAAAAACAAATATCAAATATCAAAACATTTCTTTGATTTTGCGTCCTGCAGGACTTCACCATGACTCTGTACCTGCGTCACTACTGGAAAGACGAGCGGCTGGCGTTTCCATCCAGAAACAATCTGAGCAGGACGTTTGACTCCAGGCTTGTTAAGAAGATTTGGGTTCCTGACGTCTTCTTCGTCCACTCCAAGCGCTCGTTCATCCACGACACCACAATGGAGAACATCATGCTGCGGGTCTACCCGGACGGAAACATCCTCTACAGCGTCAGGTACAGGGAAGAAACAGAGGAAGTTATGGAGGTAAAATGGAGGTTTAGACATGCAGACTTGAAGATGCTTCTGAGGACATGACTGGTAAAATCATGACAACCTCTGAAGCTGTGTTGGTCCAGATGACCGAAACACTCTTTGCTGTTTCTCTTCCTTGATTTATCCATTATTTTCTACTACTAGTATGAAATAGAAAGAGGAGGTTTCATTGGCAGAAGCAGGAAAAAAACGTTCAGGACCTGATACCTGGAGAGAAAGCTGTGATAATAATAATAAACTTTATTATTATACAGCAGTAAACATTATAAATTTATACAGAACTTTTCAAAAGAAAGCTAAAAGAAGGTGCTTTACATGATAAAACCAGGAGCAAAAACTATTCAGGGTTGCAATGAAATAAATTCAGAACATTTAAATAAATTTCATGGTGTGCTTGCATTAATAAAAAACTTGAGAAGTGATTTAAAAGATGTCTCAGGTCTTCAGGCAGTGAGCTCCGGAGCTGAGGGGCCCTGACAGGTCACCTTTAGTCGTGAACCAGGACTCAGGTTTTGAGGCTGAGCTTTGGCTCATAGGGGAGCAGCAATGCAGCAGTTTAACTGACCTAAACATGACGTGCTTTATAATCTGTAAAATGAATTGTAAAAGAACAGCCTTCTTGGGCAGCACTTACGGTCACGTATGACATCAGCACGGTGTCTCACTTCTCTTAGGGCTGTCAGTCACTAGCCTTTGAGTCAGCTAGCTAGCTATTGAAAAGGCAAACGGCTAACAGACGCCTCAGAAATCATACTAAACACACTTGGTTGGTTACAGTCATGGGCAGCGTCATCGTGTCAGCGTCGATGCTGCCTTCAAAGCAGATTGAAGGTCGATCCGTAGCGCAGAGCACTTGATGCTTCTCTGTCCTGTTAGACACCTTATGAGACAGCATTTTTACCCGTTTCAAACACAGCCATAATCTTGTCTTCTAGTGTTTGTTAAAAGAGCAGGTGTGTTTTGTACCAGCTGCTTTTGACCCTGTATACGATGAATTACAAAAATCTAACCGAGATGATACAAAACCATAAATGCGCTTATCAAGATCAGGCCAAGATAGAAATGAAAGGTCACTGTCAGATCTTACACCCTGGTTTCTTGCTACAGGTTTGATGTTTGTAGACCGGAAGATGTTTTTGTGAAATAGTTACAGACTCTGGATTTGTTTTCATTTATCTGGAGAAAAAGTTGTATTTCTGACAGACAAGATAATAAATAAGATAATGAAAATTCTTGACTTCTTTTCAGTGGGACACACATTTGCACATCATCAGCATAACAATGGTACGGGATTTTTTTATTTATGTATGTATGTGCCAGTGGCAACACGTATATACAGAATAACAGCGGGGCAAGACTGGAGCCTCGGGGAACCCCACAGGTCAGAGAGGCCACAGATGAGGAGGCATCACCGATCACTACAGAGAAAGTCCCGTTCGATAAATAAGATTTAATCCAGTCTGTCTTCGTGTTTCAGGGTCACTGTGACGGCTCTCTGCTCGATGGACTTCAGCAGCTTCCCTCTGGACACACAGAACTGCTCGCTGGAGCTGGAAAGCTGTGAGACACGCACACAATATATACATATATCTACTGTATATATACAAACTCCCCCCGGTGTTCTGACATCAAGAAGAGACACATGCAACAATAGAACAATGGCAGGATAAACTCAACATAATTCAACCAAAACTGAGTTCTCATCTTTACCCTGTTTCACATGACACCTCCCTCTCTCTCTCTTTTTTTTTTCTCTGCACAGATGCGTATAATGAAAACGACCTGATGCTTTACTGGAAGAATGGGAACGACTCTCTGAGGACGGATGAGATCGTCTTGTCTCAGTTCTTCATTGAGCATTTCCAAGCCTCCAGTGGCCTGGCTTTCTACAGCAGCACCGGTCTGTATGTGTGGGGGTGTTTGTGAGTGTAGGGGCATCATCTTTGCTTCTACTCAGGGGCCAAAACTATATGTACATGTGTGGTCATGTGTCTACAAATACTTGTGTACTTTATTTATTTATTTTTTTTTTGGGGGGGGGGGCTCCTTTACCTCCAATGAAGGGACAAATCTTAAAGGAGCAGCATGTAATGATATTTAACACTAGGAAATCTGAGGGGTCATTAGATAATAAACAGGATAGGCAAGCAGAAAAATGTATATTTCTACCACACAAAATCATGTTTGTTAATGATATACCTTAAATCTGTGTCTCTAACTTATATATTACGGGAGCATTTTACCTCTTCAGGCATTTAAAATGTATTTATATCAAATAAAATCACTCCCTAGTTGGGATGGTTAAATGTAAATACTCTGTATTACACCTTTCTAGTCTTTGCAACCACTCCACATTCTCACACTGAGTCTAAGTGCTCAAACAGTAACTAACATTCATACAGTGGTGGGTTTAGTATCTTGCCCAAGAACACTTTGACATGCAGGAGTAGCCGGGGATAAAACCGCCACTCTTCTGGTTAACAGGCAACCCTGAGCCACAGCCGCCACACGTTATGCTTCTTTAAGGTTTCTCATAAAAAAATGTTGGGAACAAAAACAGCTATTTTATTTTGTGCCTAGTCTATAAAGACATGGGAGCAGATCCCTGCAGCCAGGGAAAGACTGAAACCAGAAGCCTGTTGTAGCAGGACATGGTTTCAGCATCAGTGTCCTCCCTGTGTGTTTTTCTCAGGTTGGTACAATCGTCTGTTCATTAACTTCATCCTTCGGAGGCACATCTTCTTCTTCATGCTGCAGACTTACTTCCCCACCATGCTGATGGTCGTCCTGTCCTGGGTTTCTTTCTGGATCGACAGGCGGGCCGTCCCTGCACGTGTCTCGCTGGGTATCATCATATCTTATTTTTAATGAGAACCAAAAACAGGGTCTGAACACTATAATGTTGTGATTTACTTTGTGGGGAGCAGCTTTTTGTCCCTAAACGACACACATAATCTGACTGTGGGAACAGATATTTAATTTTGGGACAGACAGCAGGTGCACGTCAGTAATAAATATTACACTAGCATGTAAAACATGTAAAACTACATTTGTTTATGTCAACTTTATGTTTGTCTATGTGTAGCACCTCATCACTAAAGCAAATTCCTCCTATGTGTAAAAAACTACTTGGCAAAAAGCTCTTTCTGATTCTGATTCTGAAAAGATTTGTGTGTTCGTTTGGATGACTCGGGTAGATTTTTAGAAAAAGTGAATTCTCATTCTGTAGTTATTCTAAGTTGGACAAATAAATGTTTTTCAATTACACAATAATCTATAATAGGTTTAATTTAAAAGAAAAAAGATAATAAATTAAAGATGTTTTACTTTTCTAGAAAAATGCATTACTACTCTAAAGACACTTTGGTGAAACTGATTTAACCTTTAAGTGATCTGTCTTCACAAAACTCAATGTTTTAATTGAAGGTGTTTTCTAAAAGTGGATCCACCAGTTGTCAGAGGTTATTTTATGTTTGGAAACATCACATGCTGAGTGTAAACCATCACATGCTGAGTGTAAACCATCACATGCTGAGTGTAAACCAGCTCTGCTTTCTCCTCCTGCAGGTATAACCACAGTTCTGACGATGTCCACCATCATCACAGGAGTGTCCTCCTCCATGCCTCAGGTAATAACTGACTGGGCCTCTCTACACGCCTTTTAAGGCTATATTTCATGCAGAGATTAGTTGTCGGTTCCACATTTCCGACTTAAAACTAGGGGAGGAAAAGGGGCGCGTTCGCATCACGCTCTGGAGGAATCTGGTTATTGGAGAGATTTTCCTGATTTGACATGAGTTTGTTTGCTTGAGTTGTTTTTTATTTTCTATTTCACTAAATATCCTCTTATGCATTTATTCCCATACATAGGTGCCTTTGGAACTAGATCACAATTTCATAACAATTAGAACAAATGTGTGAATCCGCACAGCAACAATTTGATCGATGATGATATGATTTGATGATGATAAAAAAAATCACTTAAAAGCACCTGTTCTGTTCAGAGTACTAATGGAAAGATCTAAACATTTACAGTATGTAGTACAAAAAAAGAAATAATTAAATAAAAACCTGATTATGATATAGCAGCCCCCAAAAAGATTTGCTGTAATCCACTTATGTGTGATGGTGTCCCAACAAATCCCAAAGTTTAGTAGGTGGCGCTGTAATGGACACCATCATGAAGCTAATCAGGAATTGTATCTGTAAATATTTAAAGTGTAATAAAATCTTCACACAGGGAGCCAGAGAAACGTTTTGAATTAGTTTGAGAGGGTCCTGTGTGGGTTTCATTGACCTCCCCTTGTTTCATACGTGTTTTACCTCTTCATCTGTTATATGTGCATCGACTCTATGTCTGTTTTGTTTTGTCTGTTTCTTCTTCTTCTTCAATAAACCAGCTGTACATTATTTTCCCGTGTGTGCCTTGTGTGTTTGTCGTCCAGGTGTCGTATGTCAAAGCCGTGGACATCTACCTGTGGACCAGCTTCCTGTTTGTCTTCCTGTCTGTGATCGAATACGCAGCCGTGAACTACTGCACCACTCTGGAGGAGATGAGGAAGATGAAGAGGGGGAAGGTCAGCACAGAGGACACGAGGGGATTATTACACCACACGGATGAAACAGGGAGGGAACCTTGGAAACACATAATTTACTTAATGTCTCACTCTAGTGGCCAAACAGACACATTACAGTAAAGTAAAACGCAGAGTGCAGTGGTGGAAAGTAATAAGAACATTTTTTTAAGGTACAAATTTGAAGTACTTATTCTTTACTTGAGTTTTTACCTTTTATGCAACTTTATACTTCTACTCCATTACATCTCAGATGCAAAATAATGTACTATTTACTCCATAACAGCTTTAGTTACGTTTCAGATCACAATTTTAAAACCCTGTGGCAATGTTGAATGTGAATGTTGAGGATGAAGTGTTCCTGTATAGGGTGAGAAATTTCTCCAACTTCTTGTGGTATTTTTAAACCTGGGTCTTTACATATGTTGCTGAATGACTTATACTGCAGGTACAGAAGGTTTTGCCATTGGTCCAGTAGATCACCTCAGCCAGCAGCGATGAATCGGGCTGTAATGGCTGCGATGTAATCCTTGAGGGTAATTACTCTCGTCAAAAGTACGTCCACTAAAGTGCTTGTTTTTGCCACTGACAGGCTCAACATTATGGAAAGGCTCCCTACAGAGACAGGCCTTTATTTTAAAGCCTGTCAGTGGAAAGAACAAGCACATTAGTTGATGTGCTTTCGACGAGAGCAATTACCCGCAAGCATTATGTTGCCAGTGAAGCCTGTTTGGCAGCTGCTGGCTGAGGCTGATCTTCTGGACTAATTCCAAACCTTTTTGTACTTATTACACATTCTTTAAATATGTAAAAAGAAACTAGGGCCCAGGTTTAAAGCTAAATAAACTATTCAAACCCTCCTTGGATCAGATAGAAAATACTTCATCACAAAGCTGAAAACAGGCTGTTTGTCTGAATGTTTAGAGATACGTTGTTCTCACAAGTCAGCCACTCTACAAACATTAGAGACCCCTTTCACATTACACAGTCATTTCATTTGTTGTTGACGTGACATTATTGATTACAGCAACGTTAAACACAAAACCAAACCCCACATTTTATTTGAGGATGTGTAAAGACGCATGGATTTTGGACATGTATACATGCTGTATTGAACATTTTCTGTATACAGTATAATATTTAACAACATGTTCTGAGTTTCTTTCTGTACCGCTTCAGATCCCATCCACCTTTAACGCCAGCCAGGCGATGGCCTTCGACGGCTGCTTCCATGACAATGACATCGAGCTGTCTCCATTCCCACGCTTGGCACCCACCCTGACCTCTGACCCCCTCACCACGCCAACCCAAACCCCGGACATCCGGCCCACGGAGGGGACTCGCCTCCGCCGGCAGCGGTCTCTGCGTGAAAACGTAGACCTGCTGGTCAGCAAAAGCTACATGATTGACTCGTACTCCCGCCTCGCCTTCCCTCTGTTCTACCTGCTCTTTAACACCATCTACTGGAGCCTGTACTCCTGATCCAGCACTGCATGAACTCTGGTTCGCTTTAACAAGAGTCCAAGTGTTGGAGGAGCCCTCCTCTCCACGGGGCTCTAACTCTTTATCACACTTCAGCTCCAGCTTCATCTCTAATCATGAACAAGAGAGATAAAGACATAAAAGCACTCGACTTCTCAGAGTAGTAATTGTGCACATCTTCACCCTGACATTTGTCTCATGGGAGCGGGCTGAGTGATGGATCCTGAGTTGTTTTTTTTAATAATCTGTACATGTGACTCTTCTTTATGTGCATCATAAGAATCTTATACTTATTTCCAAAAGGTTATTACACTACTGTCTCTACCGTAATCTATTTTGCTTAGCTGCAGGGAAATACTAAATTAGAACTGTATGTGAAAATGTTCTTTTTTGATGAATGATGTAAGTGGAGCCAAGAAACTACTGTACATTTAATTGAATTTCTTTTCTCATTAAATTTTTATGCTGTTCATGACGATGTAAAAGAGAATTTATGTGTACTGCAGGACCAAATTGTCCTTTGTGTGTGTGTGTGTGTGTGTGTGTGTGTTTTAGCAACCTGCAGGGATGTTTCAATTAAAAACTAAGAAATTAGCTTTCATAAGCTTTTAAAAAATATATATTTGTATTTGACTCAATTTTGATTAACAAAATAAAAGTGGGAAAGACTTTGAGACATTTTATGTCGAGGAAAAATGTACAGAAAGTGTCATTTAACAGGTAATTAAATAAACAAATTATAAGTAATAAAACAAAATGGACTATTTCGAAAATCACGTCACTGCAGGTGTAAATATTAAAATAAACATTCAGATTTTACTAAAACGCACAGTTTCCATAGCGACTACAGTTACGTTAACGCGCGGTCTTGTGGAAGCAAACGGAAGAGAAAGTCACGCACTCCCCGCAAAATAAAGCGCAGAAATCGCCGCCTGCCTTCCACGCAAGCAGGAGGACAGGTGACAGGTGAGCTCTCTGAATCACAATCAATAAAAACAACTAGAAAAGAGCCCGTCTTTTTAAAATAAACCATATAATTTAAAGTCCAGGATGTATTATTAACGCTAAAGCTAGTGCTAACCGTTAGCTTCTTCTAACGTCTTTTGTTGTGGTTCGATTTGTGGACGTTAACCAGCTAACGGTAGCTGGCGCAGTTAGCGTTAGCTGCTGCTTTTCGGCTGAAATGGTGTTTACATTCAGGAAGATAAGAGGTTAAGAGGTCGGTTAACTTGTCTTGTGATTTTCCTAATTTAACTAACACGATCGTGGAAGGTTAATACAAGTTGTCAACCGAGAAGAAGTCTCTTAACGTTGCCGAATAAACTCGGATACGTGAAAGTATTACGGTAAACACACACCAGACCTAACGTTAGAAAACGATGTTTTTAGCCACAAGGATGTTTAGCTAAGTTAGTTAGACCTACATTTTTATGCAAAACTCGTCTATAAATTGTCGTGTTTTAGTCGTTTTGAAGTAGAGAAAGTTATTTGTTGGAAAAGTAAAACTAACTGGCTTGTAGCTTGCAAAGTTTGTTAGCCAGATGCTTTGGGAAAGTAGCTTAAGTTAAGGTATCCGTTAATGTTAACATGTGTCAGGAAAGTGGGGACAGACCAACAATGAAGTCACTGTTTTTTTCTCCACACCTTTTCACATTTAACTATTTATGGATTCTGTCATCTAATTTAGCCATAGCATTTACTCAATGTGTTTCTGATGTAAAGAAAAGTATGAAAAAAGGTTCAAGTTCATCTAACTTAAACATATAAGGACTGTATGGACAGACTCTGGCCTTTGTCACACTGGGTTTTTGCAGTGGGTGTTGAGCTGCCAAGTTGCCTTATTGTAAAAGACAAACTTCCATCCTAGGTGGAAAGTACTGTACTTGTACTTTGTGAGCAGTTATAACAGTAAGTCCACCGCTTTGCAGAGGAAAATATTGTAGTTTTTACTTCACTGCTGTAGTTACTTTTCAAATGGAGATTTTACATAAAAAAGAATATACATATGATCAGCTTATAAAATGCAATTTGTCAAAAGATTAAATCTGTCTAGTTTGGCCTCGTTGTCATGTCTCAGATGTCTATGAATTTGTTGAATGGACAATTTCAGATGGTTTCATTTACTTCAAATGAAATTAACCAATGTTTCACAAAAAAAATGAATTTTAATCATCTTACAACTCCTCAGATTTGTTTTGTGACGCTTTGAAGTGTCCCAACCCCTAGGCTGGATCCACTGGATTAAACTTCTGAACTTAACTCACTTACACAAGCGTGATGTCTTTAGTTTTGACATTTATGTAATAAAAGTAGCCAGCCTGTAGCAAGCGTATTAAGACATTGGCTTATTACAAACAAATTTAAGATTGTTACTCTATTGTTTACTTTACAGCAATTCAGTTTGCATAGTATTTACCAATACGGTTTCAGCTTCGGTCCATATAGAGCAGAATAGTGGTTGCAGTATTTCCTTCATGCCAGCTGGTGTTGTGACTCATTTTCCTTTTCCCCACTGCTCCCCCGCCAGTCTCTGTGGTGACTATCGACTGTGGCAGCACTCCTCCCGTTGAGTTACCCACCTGCCTGTGTCACATGACTTCAGATCAGAATCCACAGTGTCCAGCTGATCTACAGGTGCAGTTATCGGTCAGAGCGCTGGGTCCTGGATACTACTGCTTCTGCCAGGTACTTTAATATTAATACTTACTACACAGACACTCTGACAGTATTTATCTACCTAAATAACTCATACCTACCCAGCAATCTTGTCTGGTCTTCTCACTGCACTAGATACATTATGAATTATGAATCAACTTAATGTCAGATTTCAATCTGGGAACTAAAGTTTTGCTTGAAAAAGTAAATTTTATTTATATAACCCAATATCACAAATGTGCCTCAAGGGTGCTTAAAAACACCCGTGTCCTTGGACCCTGGATTTGAATAAGGAAAAAACTTTTTAAGAAAACCTCATAAAGAGCAACAGATTTATAGAATAGACATATTTTAATATTAAAAACCTGTAGTTATATAAATGTATTATTTTAAAAACAGGCCATTGACTGACTTCCCTTAAGTCATTTTGCGTTCCTACTTTTTAGCCTATTCACAACTACAGAATAATCTGATCGGTTTTTGAGGCCTGGACGCCCACTCAACCGTGCCTGGGGCCCGGGGGGGGGGGGGCCTAGTCAGGGAAGCAGGAAGGGGGGGAAGCTAAAGCAGTGAGGGCAAAACTGATGTAAGTGAAATGGAAAGGTATCAGTGGGAGGGAAAGAGAAGTGAATGGTGCGACGGGATGAAGGAGTTTCAGGGAGGGAGGAGTAGGAGTGGACACCGCTGCATTACTGCTCTGTGATTGGTCGCTGGGCCATGTGCTGACCCCTCTCAAACTGTAGCCTAACTAGGTCTCCGGCATACATTCTCTCACACACACACACACACACACACACACACACACACACACAAAGTGGTGTGCAGCCCTCTGTTGAGTGGCAGGGACATGTGAGCCCCTTCACATTTGCTATTCTGGGCAGGGCAGGGGAAAGGGGGGAGGGAAGGGGAGAGGGCGAAGCAAGGGGGAGTAGAGGGTCTTTTCTCTTTCTGCATGTGGCTGAGCCATCGTGAGGAGCTGCTCATGATTGTGTTTCTTGTTGTGTAGGCTCTTAGTGTGTGTGGCCATAGCAGTTTGTGTTTTACTCCCACTCTAGGCCGAAGAAGATGGGGTGCTGCTTTAGTAAGGAGCTCAACCCCGGCCAGCAGAATGAGAGGAGCGGTCTGTTACAGCCTGCGCTCCACAATGGGCTGAATGAGGTGACAGAGCAGGTCAGGCAACACGCCGCGGCTGTAGCTCAGCATGTGTGTTTAGACGAAGAGGACACGTGTGTGGCAGACGGGCCGGCCCAGAGGAAGCCTCCGGAAGATGAGGACAGACATCAAGGACTGGACTGCAAAGTTTGGACGGAGGCGGTCAGCGGGGACATCACCTCACGGAGTGAGAGGGACCTTAAACCAGCGAGCGCTCATGAGGAGAAGGGGGCTATTATTAACACAACCAGCACAAACATACATATAGACACGGACGCAGAGGCAGGCATGACACACCCTGCCAGGCCCAGCTGTGGACCGGCTCCGTATATGGAGGTGCTCACACAGAGTCCGGTCAGACAGAAGATTCTGGAGAACGCGACGGTCAGGGCTTTATGGTTCAATCCGCTCCCAAATGGGGAGAAGCAGCACAAACCATCCGGCTGTTTGTCAGCTCCCGCCATGTTGCCCTCTGCTAACTTCCAGGGTGACGTCACAGCAAGTGAAGTTTTAAGTGACCAGCCGCCGTCACCGGTCAGCGTGTGTCAAGGGACACTGCGGGATTTCCTCAGACCGGAGTATGAGGAGGAAGAAGGAGAGGAAGTCTGTGTCGTTGCAACAACGCTGGGTCAGGGTTTCGAAACGAGGACGAGGAGCTTCTACAGCATATGTTCCATTGACGCAGATGACCTTGAACACGACCATGTCCACAGCCAATCCCAAACAGCTGGAGCAACACACTCACCGCACACAGCTGAAGTAGAAACAGCTGCTCTGCCCTGCATAGTGGAGTCTCCGGTCTCCAGCCAATCACACGCAGAGGCACCCACAGCCTGTTACCAGCTGTATGTCACAGAATCTAAAATGACCAGCGAACCCGCTTCAGCGCAATCACGTGCTGCAGAACAGTCAGAAAAGTTATTCTCAGCAGCGCAGACCACCTCACCTCATCCTGTTGCATCTCCACAGCTGGTAAAGCCTCTGTGTGACCCGCTGCCTCCGGCCACCAATCATATAAAAGATCATCCTCAGGCGTCCACACAGGACAGCCCTCAGCCTGAAGACTTTTACTGCCAGACAGCTGCAAAGTACACAGATGAGTCCCGGGATGACATCCAGTTGACATCACACAAAGATGAAAGAGCATGTGTGGAGGCGGGGACTGTGAAGGGATCAGAGGAGTGTGTGTGCGTGGAGAGTGTGTGTTTAGTGGAAGAGAGTTTGTACTTAGGCGTCCACAGAGCAGCAGAGGGAGGCTTCAGTGCCACCAAGGTACCGGTGGTTAAATCCCAGGAGGAAGAATTGGAGCAGAGTGTGGATTCTGACTTTAACCCTCTGGGCAATCATCTGCATCAGGTTGCTTTGCCTCTCTCTGGAGGTCAGACTGAGAAGGATAAAACCTCCCTGCAGGGCGAGGCTTTCCCTGTGAGTATCTGCAGAAGCTACAGCGAGGAAGGTGATGTTTGTTACAATGACACAGCAGATACAACTCTTACCAACGTGTCTTCAGTTTCCACCGTCCCAGTTGTCTCTTCCCTGCCCACTGACCTGACTGCCTTCTCCTTGAAAACTACATCTTGCCAGTCTGACTCCATCACATCTGACATATTAGATGTTAATTCAAACGATCCAACATTTAACTTGAGCAGCACTAAACATCCTAGTCAAGATGCTGAACATGTACACACTGAATCTGAGCACAGGGATGCCAGGTCTAATGAGAAAGCTGATGATGCTTTGGATGACGAGCCTGTTCAGGAAGTCCTCATGAGCGGAGACGACAGACAGGCCGTCAAAAAACCAAAGCCAGAAATGTGTCAGAACAGCAAACATATTGAGGGAGGTGACGTTACAGTCGTTTTACCTGAAACAGGCCAAAACACACCTCTCTCCTAGAGACGAGTGATGGAAAATGTGACCTGTTAGAGTTACTTGATGACTGTGCGCCTGTAAATACAAGCCTCAAACATCCTCCTCCAGCTGAAAGTGAGCTTTCTCTTCCTACTCCCTTAACTCCACCTCCCTCTTTGTTGTCTCTGTGCACATTTTCTGAGGAAGGTGAGTGTAGTTTTTGTCCAGAGGCTGAAACTGATACTACTGGAAGTGGATGCAGACAAATCCAACTGAAGGTAAATCCACCAGAGAAAGTACTTATGTGTGAGGAAAGCGAAGAGACAGCAGCTGCACAGGGGACTCGTGCAGCTGATCTGCCCTTTTTCATGCCAATCAATCATGAATCGGCAGATACAGTAGATCAGCACCCCCGCACGCCTCACACAGCCTCTGAACCCCCACAATTATTAACCTACAGTGTTTCCTTTGAATCTTTGAATCCTAAAGTCGACACCGGCCTGCAGCATGAAATTGCTGACTTTTCACCTCAAGCTGGAGATTCATTAAATGTAATTCAGTCAGAGGAAATGAATGAGCTGAAGATGGAAATGACGCAGGAGGAGCACCCTGCACTTGACAGCGTTATTCCCCCAGAAACTCTCAATATTTCAGCCACAGAGACACCGTGCCAAAGCGTCAAGGTCCATGCTGACACCAGCGTCTGTGACTCACACGTGATTCCTAATGACTTCAGCTGTCTGAACCACAAAGCCTCGGGTTTGGACTACCAGGAGGACCACACCACGATCACTGTGGACCCAGGTCAGATCGACGTTTATGCCTCAACTCCGTCATACGAGATTCACTTCCCTGGTCACGAGCTCTCAGCGACCGCTGAGGAGGGAGAGAGGGAAGGAGGGATGAGGGAAATGGTGTCCGAGCTGCTGGGAGAGGACGCAGATTCCTCCATCTGCCGCCTCTATCCCCATCCCTGGATCAAGCTGGGTCTAGAGGAGAGCTGCGGAGGGTGGGCCCAGGGGGCGGCTGAGGCCGAGCCCAGCCAGGGTGAGAGCAAGGCGGGCACCAACGCGGAGCAGATCCCAGCCTTGGTCTCAGAGCTCCAGCCCTCTATGGCTCTGCTGGGAGCTTACCCCTTCAGCACTGTGATGCCTCAGGGACCCTGTGTGTGGGACTGGCACACCGATTGTTGTCAGTCTGTAAGTTTTCACTCAGCATGTGAGACGGTTGGGTTCAGTGAAAGCCTTCAATTTAATTAAAAAATAGTAAGGATTTTAATGTGATTCAGGTAAAGAAAGACTTGGCTTGAGGTTCGGAGGGGCTCAGTAGATGACTGTTTATTGATACAAACACACTGACTCTTTACAAAGATATATTACATAATGAGTGGTCATTGTTAACGCAGACGTCCTTGATATGTAGTCCGTTTTGTAAGAATGAGATAAGAAATGAAAATACAGTAATGCTGAGGGTCTATTATCTGAACCTGTAGACAAAAATCAGTTGGACGAGGTGTTAACACCTGATCTTTAAGCTGAATTAGGTATGATTTGATTACATCTGAGAATACTTAATGCTGATTTGGAAAAAAATTTAAGTGAGATTAAACATTTAGTTTGGTGGATTTTATTCATTAAAACCGCTGTCCTATCTGTTAACATGTATATTTGTTCTTTTAAAATGACTCTGTCACTCAAAGAATTCTTATAAATACATCTGACTTATCTTTTCATATTAGATTAATATTGTGCACATTGTGTCTTTTTGTTTCAGGGACCTGTTGCTGCCCCTAGCCTGAACCCTAATGCTGAGGTATGGACCAATCCCAACTTTACCGTGGACGTTCCTGGCCCCGCCTACCTGCAGGCTCCGCAGCCATGGCTGCAATTCGCTAACGATCTGACCAATCACGAAGGTAGGCTGGAGTTACTGTTGACTAGATGTTCACTCTATTCCAGGAGATATTTTGTGATGAAGAGCTTGTAATTTTTTATTTGAACAAGATAAAAACACCAAAATTCTGTGTGTTGATTTTTAGGATACCTGCCAGAGTTGCAGCTGGAGAAAATGGGCCTGGCCGAGGCTGTGGTGGAGGCAGATCCCAGCACACTAGAGTACCAGACGCTGACATCCGAAGCTCCTATAGTTAATGGAGAGCCCAGTGAACCACCTGTTACAGGTATCAGCCCAATTAAGATGCTTTGTTTCAGGGTTATATTACTGTTTTAAAAAGTAAAACTTTGTCAGCTCAGATGTGGTAATGACTTTTGTTGATTTCAGATGAGATCAGAGAAGAGCTGAGGACAGTTTTGGAGACCTGCCTGACCAGGTAACAACTCACAACCCCCATATGATTTTAAATCCAAAGCCATTTTTTTTTTTTTGTCAGGAAATTCACACAGTTATTTTTTTGGTGATTTGTCCAACATGTGCGACATGTCATAACCTTTGGTAACCTCCGCAAACATTCCTCGAGAGAGAGGTTGTTCTTACAGACCCTTCTGTCCCTTCACAGGGAGCACCTTGGCAACGACCTGTACCTCAACTCTCAAATGGACAGTGACCAGTACGTTTCCATCGCAACTCTGGCCAGCCTCGACAAGATCAAGAACCTCAGCACAGACCTGGACCTCATCTCCGACATTTTGAAATGTCAGTGTTCATTTCTGCATATGCATGTCTGATTGACATTAATTGTTAGAGTTTTTACTCTGGGGGAAACGTTTCGTCATGCTGCGAGTTCAACCACTCATAGTGATATGGAACAATAACAAAAAAAGTTTTTAATAATATTAAGTTGAGAGTGATAAATGTGGTTTATTGTTGCTCTTCTCTCATTGGCTGACAGCCCTGCCGCTGGTCCAGGTGGCTCCGTGTGGACAGAAGGTCCGGCCCCGTCAGAGTCGATGTGTTGTCATCCTGCGTGAGATCCCCAACAGCACACCTCAGGAGGCAAGAGTCCGCCTAACGCACCAACGCAACTCCTCTCCTTCACTCAGCTGCTGTTTTCACAAGTCAAAACTATTAACTGTCTTTACATCGTCTCAAACGGTGGAACGGCTGTAGATGCTGTGACTAAAACCTTAACTCATAGACAAAGATGAGTGTCATGTTTCATGTCATCAAGCTGGTAAAAAGCCAGACAGTTTCTGTGTGTTTAATGTTACTGTTGTTGTTTAGGAGGTGGAAGCTCTCTTTGAGGGCAAGGACCTGCCCAAGTTCCTGAGATGTGAATTTGTGAGCAACGATAACTGGTTCATCACATTCAAATCAGAATCCGATGCACAACAGGTAAAATACAGCCTAAAATGTTGGGACATTATTATTTGTAATCGATGCAAGTAATGCTATAGATTAGGGATGCACCAATTTGATAATGACATCACATATCGGCCCGACACTCACTCAAATAGCTGGATTGGGTATTGTGACAAGGGGGTCGATCTATTCAATTCAATTACGTTGATGCGACAACAGTTTTCTGGTAGACCTGAACATTTAGGTAGGAGAGCTAACATTGCATGGAGGGATGTAAAAACAAGGGGTCAGCCGTTCGGAGATATATTTGGAGATCAAGGCTGATGTTGCCTTACACATAAAAGAATAATTCCCAGTCTCTTCCTCACAGTATTCATTTTACAGTGGAATAGGATCAGCGCTCGGCATTGGCCGATATCCAGGCATTGGTATTGAGACTGAAAAGGTCAGATTGGTGCATCCCTGCTTTAGATGTTTGTGTCATAATCTGCTTTCTTCAGTCACATGTCACTGTCTGCGTGCACGCCATTAGGCTTATAAGTACCTCAGAGAAGAGGTTCGGGTGTTTAAGGGAAAGCCCATCATGGCGAGGATAAAGGCCAAAACCATGGCAGTCACTTCCTACGCTCCAAAAAATGGCTACAGACCCTCGAAGCTGGACCAGTGCAGCAATCATTACAGCTCCTACTTCCCCCTAAGCACCTTCCAGCAGCCGTGGCCCACCCACATGCCAGCACAACAGCTGTATGATTTCGCCAATGAGGTGTGGGCTTCAGCTCCGGCAGGATACCAAGACTGTGCGGAGGTGAGTCATTTCATGTTGACATTGTATGACATGAAGCTGTGCTTACTGCATTAACGTGGGACGGAGTAAGAATAGATGTTGTTGCTGGTTATGGCTCATTGAATGTGTGAACAGTCGCTCTGTTCTCCCTTCTTCAACCTGTTTTTGCTGATAGTTCATGAGCAGTGTGATTTAGCTGTTGTTTTTGTCAGCAGCCTTCAACACTGATGAATGACTTCATGAATGGATTCTCAGCAGCTTCCAACTTCAAACCTTTTAACTCCCACAAGCCAAGGTAGATACTGATCATTCTGTCTTTTGTCTGTTACTCTGTAAATAATTGCTGACTTTCCATTTATTAGATGTGAAAATATTGTTGTCATCGTGAATAATCACTGGCTGACGATCATAATTAATTTGTTCCAGGAGAGGCTCGAGGTGGTCAAACTCTGGAGAGCGTTGGCAGTCCCATCAGACTGATTCCTCATCGGAGCATGCACCACCGGAGCGCTCCTTTTCTCCGACAAAGCCGGGTCGAGCGCGGTCGCAGGGCAACGTGCGCCGTCAGAGCAGAGGGGGAAGGACGGAGCCCAACAGGCAAGTTGCGTCACCGTCTTCTGACCGGGGAAAGTAACGAAACTTCAGCCCTGTTTTAAGAAGTTCGGGACTTCAGTCTCAAGTACAGCTGTTAGTTTCTTGCACTCATATGACTAATACAGTTCATGTAGTTCCTCCTGACAGTCACATGTTGTGATGCCGGTTTTAGATTAAATATATTTAATACTGTCCTTCCACTGTCATGATAAATAATGTTGTGGAAGGATGTAGTTTATTTCATTTGTAGCAGACCAAAGGAAACAATATTGTTTCCCTTTAATTCTTCAAACCCATGTTTAACAAACAGTGGCTGATAGGTATCTCATTGATCGGACAGTTTTAATGATGTCATCCCGCCTCATCAGCGCTACATAGGGGTGTGACGAGACTAGGGCTGAAACGACTCATCGATGAAATAAAATGCTTCGACACAAATTCTTTGCATCGATTTGCTTCGTTTAACCCATGTAACTATACAGGGACATTATTAACTGTCGCACATCGCGCTTACGCTGTGAACACGACCTGATTATAATGCAGCTGTTTGCAAAGTGTTGGAAGAGAGAGAAAACGGCGAGGGACAAAGAAGAAAGTGTCCGAAGTCTGGGATTATTTCAAGCTAAAGAAAACAACAACAACAACTCTGTAATGTCACAGTCCGACCGCCATAAAACAAAACTTGTCGCCTCGGCAACAGCACGACGGCACCTGAACAAAAAGCAGCCGGCGTTCTGCCAGCGGACCCCAGACAAGGTAACAGTAACTTTAGCATTTAACTGCTGCCGCCAAGCAAAAGTACTTCTGCATCAATGAATCGTTGAAATAATCTATCGAAACTTTGAATACTAAAATCATCGTTAGCTGCAGCCCTAGACAAGACACTTAACCCACGAGACGAGATTCAAGATTGGGTTCACGAGGACAAGACGAGATTTCACACTATTTTTAAGAAATATTTAGTGCATTGCTGTGCATCGCTGAATTATATAAAAGATTTGAGTATTAAAGACTTTATTTCATACATTCTGATGAATTTTTCTGCAACGGTTTATGTTCCATCCATCCATCGTCAACCGCTTATCCCGCGTACAGGGTCGCAGGGTGCTGGAGCCAATCCCAGCTGACATGAGGTGAAGGCAGGGTACAACCTGAACAGGTTGCCAGTCACGGTTTATGTTGATTCTTTTAAATTTATGTAAAGAGAAACACACAATTTAGGAATAGCCTAACTGTAACAGATTATTTGCAGTGCATTTGCTGTGCTGCTGTCAGATCTGTCTCTCCTGTAGATCAACTTTTCTCGTGTAGAATCCCTGCCGAGTCATGATTTAGTCTGCCCTCATCTTTTGTGTTTTTGCTTGGGGAAGTAACCTCTTTAAATGTGATTGTGGCCCATTTTCACCTCAATAAGAAATTATTCAATTTTTATTCAGGTATAACTTCCTGTACTTTAAGAGCTCCTGTGTTTCAGCAGGTTTTCTGTTCATGTTCAACACTTTCTGCACATTCAGAATATCTCCCACATATGTGTGTTCTCTGACATGTGCAGAAAACATAATCATAGTCATAACGAGACTAAAGTCGTCATTCAATGAGAAGTCTACCTTCCCTATTCTCTGCTGTGCATTACGTTATTGATCTGCTAGTAGTAACGTTATCCCCTTCAGACCATTTTAGCTCTGCAAGTCTGTCATATCAGTTATACATTTGTATTTCACTGCGTGAGGAAATTAACGTGTGAAAAATGTCAACTGCGTGAGTCTCGCGAGACAGCTTTTTACTGATGAGAATTCTTATGATGATTTAATCTCTTGTGGCACGAGATCTCGTCACACCCCTAGCGCTACATGGCCCCACATGGGGAAATGACAGCAGGTCATTTTGCACTTTACAGTCTGAGTGTGTGTGTTTATCTTTCCTGGAGTCACAGAGAGCTCACAAAGAAACAACTGACTCTCTGAGCATCTCTAGTTGAGTCTGTAACCTTGTGTTTCATAATGATTAACAGGTAGAAACTGAGTGTGTTAGAACAGGACCAAACAGTTGTGGAAGAACCCAAATGGGAGATTAAAATCTTAACTCTTGTCAAGAAATTTAGGTGTGAGGTAAACCCCTGTTGAAAGGAGGGAAGTCAGGCCGTCGCAGCATCAAAGGTGTGACGATTCAGCTGGGAAAATATAAGCAAATGAAAAATATGAGCACACAAATAGAAAATTAAATAAGCAGAGAACTAGTAGAAACAACAAATCCTAAAACTTCAAAGACCATAAAATGAGGGTAACAGGGGCCGCTGGTGAATTCTTAATCATCCAGATGTTGGTGTAGCTAAAGCTATGGGTGCTGCAATGTAGGCTGTGGAGTCTCTGTTAAATGCTTTGTTAATGGATGTTTGCTCTGGGAAGCAGCACCTGTAAACAATTATATTACATTTCTTCAAGTGCACACATACGTCCCTCTGTGCCTACACACACACACACACACTAACATTTAGAGTACAGTAGGTGGAGTGACGCTTTAATGCAGAATTAAAAATCAGCCTTTAGTCTGAGCTGCAGTAACATCACTGCTCTGCTGTGCTCTTTGCTCCGAAGGAGAGGAAACTTCAGCCAGAGGAGGAGAGAGAACCCGAGGTCATGGGACAAATCAGCTGGAAACAATCCTGTAAGTCCCCAGTGAACATTATCAGTGTTTGTAAAGTTCTCTATGTTGAGACTGTGTGTGTTACAGAATGCACCAAGTCAGTCGCCTCCTCGTCAGCCGTCGCCTCCTCTGGAGCTCGGGCTGACGAGCTTCCCTCCTCTTCCTCCGGCAAACACTGCCATAGCAACGGTACCTGCAGCTAACGGCAATGTCAAGGTAACCAAGTCTCTTTCTATGTCTGACACACACGCACGCACTGTTTACAGTCTCATGCTCCACAGGGTAACAGAATCTCTTCTCATATTTAAAGCCCAGGCAGCGTAGAACCTTATCATGCACAGCACTGACGGCTGAACTCTGTTTTGTTCATCAGAGTCCAGTCAGAAGCAGCAGCCTCTGTGCAGCAGTGCCAACGATGTCACAAGAGCCTCCGCCTGTCTCACAGCAGTGAGTGTCCTGAGGCCGCAGCTGGATGATAATGATTTACATTTTGAATGTGTTATTTTTACTCTTCACTTTTACTTATAACATGATTAAATCTGCAGCCTTCCTGCTTGCCTCGCTCTTAATACTATTTCATATGAACTTGTATTAGTTTCCCAGTTGTCATGGTGCCAGCTATGTTCAGAGCTGTGCGTGTGTGCGCGTGTGTGTGTGTGTGTGTGTTGACATTGTTCTGCTGCTCTCCATAGGGAAGTGAAGGAGCGTGCAGAGACTACCGGTGAGGCCAAACTGGCTCAGCTTACACAGGAACCAGTCACAGTAAGACTTCCAACTACTTCATGGTGTTGAATTTCTCCTATTTTTATTCATGAGCACATTTCACCTTGAAATTTAACTGAAATTGAATTGGATCTCTGTCCATCTGTGCTCACGTCCGTCAGTCCCTCCAAAACATCCAGGTCAAACCCAAAAATGGAATTTAATACAGGAAATCACTGATGTAGTTTTATTTATTTTTTTACTATCATTATTAATGCCAGTGAAAATGATGCTGAGATTCATTATCAGTAAGTACTAAACAAAATACATTTATTTGGAAATGGCATCGAGCAGCCAGGTAACAATAATATAGTAATAAGATGATTTATTAATAACAATCTGATTTATATGACACTTTTCGGTGTACTAAAGTGTGTTACGGACCCGAAAAGAGAGAAAACTACAAATGCAACAACTCAGGTGATCTTTACTAACTTGTATTTCTGTCTGTGGATTTTGATGTACATAGTTATGGACCTCTGACAATACGGAAGATTGACCTGTGAAGCTCTATTTAAGAAGTCTGAGCATTAACAACAGGACAAATATTTTGATATTTGTTCTGTTGTTATCCTGTAAACTCTGACCCCACCTTGTGCTCTGATTGGCCAGGAGTCCAAGAAGCCGAGCTACGCCGAAATCTGCCAGAAGAGAGCATCGTCCAATGAGCCGGTGCGGCCCGCTGACCACGCCCCTCCTGAGGCAGAGCACATCCTGACCTATCCGGGCCAAGCGTCCGAACCAGCTCTGATGCCACGGTGATCAAACTGAGTGGAGAAAAAGACTGTAAACTTTTTTTTTTTTTTTTGCCAGCTGTTTAAGAACTCTGATCTGAGTGTAGAGAGTGATGTGGTTACATTCACAGTGCAGGATTAGGATATCACAGCCTTTAAATGAACTACATTCATGTCTGGATCTTAGAACTCAACCCTTCATTAATCCTGCTGTAGACTGAAGTGTGTGTCGGGGGTCTGGCTGGATCAGAACAGGACCGGCTGGTGTGGGTCTGCGGTCTCTAACCGTTCAGGAGGTTAAATCCCACTTTTTCCGTTTTTAGAGAGGAAGCTGGAAAGAATCTGTAAATGTTGATCTGCAATTTTAAGTTACGTTTTATTTCTTGGTTTGTAGTTCAGATCAGTTTATTGAGGTTCTCCTGATTGATTTGATTTAGTCTTGATTTGCTTTGACAGCATTGGCGCTTCTTTTCCTGCTGTCTGTGTGCATTTGATGTTGTTCTCGCTGTACAGGATGTTCCGCCATGACCCCCCCCCCATACATCTGTGTTATTCTTTAGCCCGCTGTGGGCAAACACGATGCTTTTTCTCTAAATATTAGTGCTAGTCACCCACTTTGTTTCCATTTTCAGACGTTGGTGAAGTCCAGGCCTGTAATGAACCAAGGTCCAGTGTGTTAGTGAGTACTAGGAGGATTAGAACTCTATTGATTTGGTCTCACTAGTCCAGGAATCCAATTGGACTTGAAAGTATGTTCCCCTCAAAAAAATTTTTTATTTATGTCTTATTTTTTTAATTTATGTTAGACAGGGGTGCTTTTGTGTGTAAAAGCTTTATAGTCTCACCGGCGTTGAGAAAGAAGTGTAGTTGATGTACGTCAGTGTCAAAACGTCCAGTGTTTGGGACACATTTCAGGTCGTCCCATGAAGGGAAACATGCTTTTGGCTGGTGTCCATAAACAGCACAACATGTTTGAGAACTTGAATTTGATTGAGTCCAGTGCTCTTTTGTTTAAAATATACAGTTTTAAATGTTGTCATGGAGAAAGAGCAGACTTGGTTGTGGCACATGTTACTTTGTACAGATGTACATAATGAACAAATATTAAAGAAGTGCCTTTGAAGTTAAAATGTTTGTTTTTATGTATTATTTAAATACCCTACAAGACACTCTCTGCTTCCTGCTGCACTATCACACCCAGAGAGTCACAGCAAACAGAAAAGGCCCGTTAACAGGTGAATTCACGGTTCTGGTTGTGGTTCTTTTTTATAACCAGCAGAGGGCAGATGAGCCACATCGTAACAGCCATTACTCCATGATGTGGCCCCTCCGCTTGTTTACAGTGAGGATGATTTGATTCCTGGAAGGCCATATGCCTAATGAATGTGATGCATAATACTAATGAAATACCCTGCGTTAAGAAGGACAAATAGATGCTCACTAATGTGTCACTGCCACATTAGCCAGTTCAGCCATACTAGACTTGATTAATTAAAGGAAGCTTGACCTTTTAATATTAATCAGATTATTCTGTTGAGGTTTAGTTTCCATATGCAGATGGTAAATAAAGAGTGGCAGCATTAAAAGGCAACGGCCAGAGCAACAGAGAAGACGGGCAGACTTGGCTTCACAAAAATAAACCTGGTGTTTTTCTTCTGACTCCATCCAGCAGGACGTTGGGCATGATTAGATCAGGTAAACCACACATAAACCAACATTGAGCATTTTTATTAGAACAGGTCAGCCTAAATATACAATGAGATTCCCTTGTTGTAAAATGATTTGAAAATATGTTTTCTTTTGTGTGCAGGCCTTAATGTTTGCACCATTAGGTTCTGTTTAAGATAAATGATGATGTATTTGTTATGTTTGTTAAGGAAGGTCGAGGCTGGAAAAACAGGGAACCAACTTTCACCTCCTGATAAAGGCCACAAGTTGTGTCTGAAAGCTCTGGGAAAACATCCAGTCAGTGACCTTGTGCTAAGAGGAAAACTTTTATATTTACTTATTTAGCTGACGCTTTTTTATCCAAAGCAACTTACAATTGCTTGAGAGAGAGAGGGAGAGATGCCAGAGGTCGCACGCCTCTGGAGTAACTAGGGGTTAAGTTGTCTTGCTCAGGGACACATTGGTGGATGTGTCACAGTGGGTATCTAACGTCGTGCTCTTACCCCAAAGGCATGTGTCTTATCCACTGAACCATCACTTCCCCGCTTTTGACTGATGAGAACACCAAAGGCACTGATTTTTTAACTCTATAGACAGAAAATTATTCTGTAATAGTCAATGAAACAATAAATTAAACCAATGAAAAATGGCAATATACATTTAATTCTATGTAATTGTTTTAATTATTTCAGCATCAGTTTTTCCAAGAAACTTTATTTATTGATTAACATATTGAACAAATATGATTTAAATGAAAATAAAGCAAGTCAATGAAACAATAAATTAAACTAAAGAAAAATGACAAAAACACATGTATTTTTATAAAATTAGTTTATTTTTCGCATCGGGTTTTTTCATTTTTATCCCCCCCCCCCTAAAATTATTTATTGACTTTTAAAGGTTTATAAAAAAAATTAAATCAATAAAAAGATCATACATTTAAAATTCTACTTTATTTTAAATGTAAATAAAAGAGTTAAATTCAGGTTTTGTGGTGCAGGTGTAAACGCCGATAAACACCCTCACTCCGGTCTGTAGGTGTGGCTGCTCGCCGCGCCCCCTGCCGGTGATGACCACGGACGGCACCGCCTCCTCCCTCCCTCCCTCCTTCCTCCGTCACGTGACACCAGCGGCAAGAAGCTGCAAACGGCGCTGACTGCGCGAGCCTCATCACCATCATCATCATCACAAGCAGCAACACAACCACCGCAGCGGCAGCGTAGAGAGCCGAGCGAGCAAACCGGGGTCTTCACCGATTCGAGGAGCCGGGCGTCATGGCGGGCCTCCGTTAAAACCGAGACCCAGATTTATCCTCTTTGTTCTCCCTCGACGCCTCGTAGTCTTCACGCGCCTCCGCCGAGGAGGGGCCGCCGAGGAGAAGCTCTCCCTTTCCGAGCGGAGGAGGAGGAGGAGAGGAGGAGTAGTAGCAGCAGCAGCGGCGGCGGCGGCGGAGGCGGCAGCAGCAGCAGTTCAACCGGGGAGGTGTTTTCTACGGTGCAAGCCGAATGGCGGACCGTGAGGCGTCGCCGATACCGTTGGAGATCCGAGCCCGGCTGGCGGAGCTGGAGCTGGAGCTGTCAGAGGGTAAGACGTGAATAATACTCCTTCCTTCCTTCCTTCCTTCCTCTTTCCCGTCGTTATCCCGTTATCTCATCACCACCACCATCATCATCATCATCATCTTCCCCATCCACACCGGCAGCCTTCCTACTAACGGAATCTAACCGTTCATTCCTGCGCCCCCCTCTTCTTCCTCCTCCTCCTCCTCCTCCTCCCGCTCCTCCCATCCAGATGTTTGTCAGCCAGGGACCGGCCTGGCCAGCTCTCTGTAGCCGGGAGAGGATGAGGGCAGAGCGGCAACACACTGCGGGATTCGGCCGCTGCTCTTTGTCTCCGCGGCGGTGCTGTTTAAAAAACACACACACACACACCCGCCCGGCCCGTCGGCCCGTCTTGGGTCCGAAAAGCAACCCGTTGTTTGACCTTGAGATGTTGACACAATCAGCCGAGCCTACCTGTGTGTGTGTGTGTGTGTGTGTGTGTCGGGTTTAATAATAGCATTGCGATGCAACGCAGCGTGACAGCACAGAGGGGCAGTTCGGCTTTTGATGCCCATGATCTCAGCCCTCTTGTGTTTTTTGGGCCTGCAGAGCAGCTGAGGATGAGGAGGATGCTTGGGAATATTGCCTGCCTCCCTCTCTCCTCCTCCTCATCCTCACCTCCACACACGCACAAACACACACACACACACACGCACAACAAACACTCCCTCTTGCTAAATGGACCGTTGAGTCTCAATCACAGCAGTCCACCCTGCTGTTGTTTCAGATAGGAACAGAGCATTTCTGCCTTATATAATGCATGGCATGGCATATTTTATTCATACAGGCTTGGGGAAGGCCTACATTGTGAGGGAGGACGCCTAGATACACGCTGGATGTGAGCCACCCTGTTGCCTCTGAAATGTCCATTTACTGTGGATGAATGCGAATGCAGAGGTGTTAATGAGAGACAGACCAGATGTGTGTAATTGTAACTTGTCGTAGCAAACGTGTTTTGTTTTTTTTATGTCGCTTTGCTTTGCTGCAAAAAAAAGATCACACGTTGTGCGGTTGAAGGTGGAGATTTAGATTCAGTTTTACTACGTCTGTCACTTTGAGTCAGGTCTGCAGTGAAACCTGCAGCGACGTGCAGCTGGAAAATACTGTCAGTGTCTCCAGGATGACGCTGTAGTAGGTGCAGCTTCAAAGGTGTGTGTGTTCTGGAGCAAATGCAGAATAATTTAGCCATGGAAAGTGTCACATTCATTCTTAGTTGATTAGTTGTCAACTATAAAACCATTTCCATAATGGATTAATCATTCTGAGTCATTTTCTAAGAAAAAAACTCATAATTCTCTGATTTCAGCTTCTTAAAGGTGAATATTTTCTGGTTTCTTTGCTTCTCTGTGACAGTGAACTGAACATCTTTGGGTTGTGGACAAAGCAAGACATTTGAGGATGTCGCTTTAGGCTTTGGGAAACAATTTTCTGACATTTTATAGACCAAACAACTAATCGATTAATTGTGAAAATGATTGACAGATTGAAAATAATCGCAAAGACAGGAATCTGATGCTTTAATCCAAAAACAACACCAGGACTAGCCTTTGAAATCCCCAGAAAGCAGTCGAACCTCGATACATCAACCGATCCCCTTTTTTTTTTTTTAAACTTCTGATCGGCCTCATCAATCATAAAAGCCTTTTTATTTTCTCTCGCTGCAGTGACACACACACACACACACACAGACACACACACACACACGCTGAGGTAAAGCTGTGGCAGCTGCAGGCCTTTTGGAGCTCCTAATCCAGCCGAGAGTGTTTATCAGAGCAGAACCTGCTGCTGGCAGATGTTATTAATGATGGAAACGGCAGGAGGAAGTGGAAACGTCACACCCCAACGTCAGACAGCATGAAGCACTCCAAACATTCAGGTGTGTGTGTGTGTGTGTAGGACTGTCAGGGGTGTTATTGGTGGATCACAGCGGGATGAAGTCCGACAGTCTCTTACTGCGATGGACGCGTCGGTGTTTGCTTCAGTCACTGGAGCTCATCGAAAAAACAGAGGGCGAGAACCTTGTCCGCTATGAGAGTGTGTGTATTACAAAATAAGAGCATGGTTTGCAGGATGTGAGGCTGTGTAAATGTAAATGGATCTTCTTCTTATTTTTTTTTTTTTTATCGTGCAGTTCACAACACAAGTTCCCCGAGCTCAGATCGATGTCTTCAGATTGTACTAAACTGAGACAATTAGCCGATCAGTCGATTAGTAGACTAACAGAAAATTAAACTGCAACAATTTTGATAATCAGTTAATCACTGAGTAATATTTAAAGCAAATAATATCTCCAGCTTCTCTAATGTGAGTATTTGCTTCTTTTCCTTTTTTACTGTGACAGTAAACTGAAATTATCGATTGTTGGTGAGACAAAACAAGCTATTTGAAGACGTCACCAAATTGCATTTGACATTTCTCACCATTTCCTGACATTTTATGGACCAAACAAACAAATCGGTTGATCAATACAATAATTTGCACATTCATCTGCGATGGAAATAATTGTCAGTTAAAGTTCTTATTCAGTTTACAGTCATGTAAAATTAAGAATTAGCAGTTGCACTTGATTAATGTTCACTTTATCGCCCCGTTGATGATTTCCTTGGGTTAAATAACATCTTGTACACAGATCAAGATGTTTCCAGCACCTTGGCCACTTATTCCAAGAAAATCCTGAAGCTCAGAAACAGTTTTGTAAAAGAAAGATTTGAAAAGCTAGAAACCAAACTATAAATCATCTCTTTGTTTGTGAAGTTCCTGATCTTGAAAATGTAAAAGATCAAGAAAATGTTTTGGGGGGGGGGGGGGGCTGCAAATTTGGACGATTGAGAAGCTGAAAGCAGAGACTGTTTGGTGTTTTT